GGGGGAAAAAAAACGACATTATGTAACAAGTCAGCGCTGGGTGAGTGATATTTTGTCACGGCTGGCTTTGAAAAGACAGATTTGCTCAGTCCCAGGTGAACAATTGGTATCCGCGTCACCCCCTAGCACACCCCCCAAACACGTCCCTGTGAGACAGTCACACCCCATCGCACTCGGACACATTCCTGAATTAAAGGGCGCAGTTCTCACTCTACCTTTATGAGGAAACTTCATAAAGGTAGGGTGATCTTTTTTAAGACTTGCGAAAGCACAGATTTCCTTGAAGGCTACAGCCGTTCACAACAAGAACAACACACCGAGTATTGTAGTTAAACCCAACGCAGCGCCGTCGTCCGATACTTTCATTCTAAAGCGTTTTGTTGCGGGGCGTCATGATGTGAATCAATCTTGGCCAATCTAATACGGCTCTTAATATGGTCACTTGCATTTCAATTAAATTGCGTTGCCCCAGGTTGCGGTATAATCTTGAGTAAACCCTCTCAAGCGTTCGTCCAGATAAAGCTCCATAACTACACCCGGGTGAGAACCGTTTTATCCGGCCGGGCCTCAAAGCTGTCCCGAACAACATCTTTCGCAGGAGGGTGAGAGAGATTTTTCTCTTCAAGGAAAGGGACTAGGGACGAGGGCGCCGCGGACACGCGTCAACAAAAGCAAACATCTATATTTTTTTTTTCTCCCGCAAAATCCCATGGCTCAGATAGGATTAACCCCTACCCGGACCCAGAAGCGTGATAAGAAAGGTCATCGAGACGGCTCACAGTGCGTCTTGACAGGAATAAGCCAACGGACCACCGGCGTGCAGGTCCTGTACAAAGAGGCAGGCGCTTTAAATCATACTTAGTCCTGCCGCTGTTGAGGGACGCCAGCCTGCAGGTGAAGCCAGATCAGATTAGTAATTTACGCGCTGTTGGGAAATAATGCACCTTACTCGGACCAAGACCCGACAGAGCGACCACGGGGCACGGTCACTCTCCTTGCAAGTCCAGGAGACGTCTGGTCACCCGAAATCCGCGTTTTGAGGGCGTGGGAATCGAGTGAGCTGGAAACCGGATTCGACAGAGAAACTCGCGATTCAGCGCCCAGATAAAATCGCCCAGGTCGCGCTGACAGGAGACAGGTCGTGCGTTTCCCCCGATCGCGTTACTGTTAAAATATCAACTCCCTCCCGCCCCCGACGTCAAACCAGGTTAGGAGCGAGCAGGATTTCCACATGTGGTGTAAATCGAATAAGAAGCAAAATTGACTGTTTACTTATTGTCGTTTCTTAACTTTGTACCACCTCGTCTCCATGCATTATCTTCAGATAAAAAAAGAGCATTCTCTTACTGTACCTTACACAACAGATGATCGCTGAGCAACGCTCATTTAGCACAACTTGTGATACCTTACGGCCTGTGCAATAGTTTTTGGTCGGTTCACTCACACACACACACACCCCGCAAGAATGAAATCAGGGGTCCGTTTCGCAAAACCGCCGGTACTATTACCTTTGCAGGTCAAGCCGCCGTCGAAAAAATACTCGCAGCACAGGTCGCACCACCCCTCCGCCGCCAGGGGCAGAAACGTGTGCCCCTCTCCCCTTTCCTCCCGGACCCGCGGGTCTTTCCCGGTGGGCTCAAATATCGTCCTGACATCCGGCGGGCGGTAGCCTCTCTTCCTGCTGCGGGGCTGCGCGACGGCGTCGCCCGCGGTGCCGGGC